GAGAGAGAGAGAGGGAGGGAGAGAGAGAGAGAGCAAAATAAGACTTGGCAAGGGCTACGAGCCCCCAAGCTCCCCTCAGGAGCCACACATCGTCGACTAATGAGGCGAACATCCAGGTCTAACAATCTAGCTTGTGTTCCTCTACAGGTTTGTTTATCACCCAGTGGTCAGCTGTAGGGTTGAGGGCATAGACAGCTAAATGGTTCTGGGGATTTTCCCGTTTCATTCAGCGTGCGCTGCTCTAACTGCTTCAGGTTGGTATGTCCAATGGAACATTAGATGTTATTTTTAGAATCTGTCGTCTCCAACCCTGTGGATATTGCTGGGCTGAATCGAGTAGTAATCTAACAAACACATTTACATCGAGTATTTAAATACACGTTTAATATCGAGTATCTAAATAAACGTTTGCTTCGAGTAACTAAATACATGCACAAGTTTGCATCGAGTATCTAAATACACATTTGCATCCAGATACCCGTCATTACTGTAGGTGATTGTAACATAAAGTGGAAAATGTTCACAACTCGCGGAACGTTCACCTCCAATTACCGGTACATAAATTTGGTCTGGTCGTCGTTCTTGGTCTTTATAAAGTGTTAACAAAATGGTCATTGTTGCCTTCGGATCAAGGCATCAGGGGCTCTCTTGTATGTGCATAGTTCTAGGACCAAACAGATAACACTGTCGACTTTCAGGCACTGGATTATCATGCACTATTATTGCTACATGAATCGCAGTGAAATATTCACAAGACGACTTTACATTTTTCGGGCAAGATTCTAATAATATCATTATTAATTGGAACTTTATATTTTCAAACCGAGTTTGAGAAATTGCTCCATATAAATCATCTCACGAGGCTACGGTTAGGTTAAAGAACAGGTCAAACAGACTGTTTCTTTTGCCTATCAGACTCTACATAGTCACTAGCAGTGACGGGAATGTTAATGGCTCAAAATTGGTGACATATCGTACGTCGCCTCAGAACTATTTTGTCCAAAGCGTACACTTTAGTAAAGAGGGCACTTTGGACAACATAGTTCTGAGGGCGACGATGTACTGCGATAAATAGAACTACGTCTACAAATTGAGCACCTGCAATTTTCGGGAGTTCATCTGTACTGTAAGACAAACGTGTCGTGTAAAGGAAACTGTCCCAAAGACGACACGTTCCGACTTAACCAATGCATTGTCATAAATAGAAATTGAGCAAAACATCCGTTTTGTAAACAATATTGCCTTGGTTGACAATTTCTCTTTGCGAGTTCAACATTGATTATTTCGTGCTGCGAGTTCAGCACATCGTTGCACGGACCGAAGTCACAGATTATAATAATGCAGACGAACTGTAATGATATAGCAGCCTTCTTTCTATAAAAAGTCTCGCAGCACTAATTTGACAAAGCATTCTTCAGATGTGCTTTTCTTGTTGCTTCTTACTTCAAACAGAATGACCGTATTTGATTGATCGATTGATTGATTGATTTCTGGTACCATGGGGCTTCTCGTAATCAGAAGATGTTTCCATGAGATAGCCACTACAATATCTATGCCTCACTTTTCCAAACAAAATGGTTACGGTGGAAAGTAAAAGAAGCCATTGTCTTCCATCTAGATGAGAGTAAAAGAACCTCATCATCAAAAGTCCTTTATATAAAGTAACAACTGCCTTTTACAACAACTGCCTTTTACAACAACTGCCTTTTACAACAATTGCCTTTTACAACAACACATGCGATACAAGGATTAAGGCATCATATTTACAATCAACCATCGCAAACAGAGGTCCTTTTTTCTGAGTGAAGTAAGTCTTGAGTTAGTCGGCGGTCAAGTCATAAGTATTGGGCATCTCTTGCCGTTCTTCTAACTACAACCGTTTATTTTTTCCTCAAGAGTTTTCAATGCTCGAGCTTCGGCTTTGTCCGTATAAGGCGTAGGTCGGACATTCACCAGGGTATTATGGTCTGGCGTCCATTCTAACCAAACCTTGACATTAAGAGGTTTTGTCTCCCGTTGACATATCAAAAGGGTAGACCAGTCAGTCAGTCGCCGAGATAGTATGGGTCCGCTATCCAGTTTCTAACCAAACTCAAATGTCAAGGTGTTTCCTCTTCGTACAGCAGGAAATCTTGATCCATGAACCTGGCTTCGAACGGCTCCGACGAGCTGGAGCTCATGTGAACGCGGGAGTACGCCGAAGACAGACTGTGGCGGACGTCAGATGTGGACTCGCTGAGGCTCGGAGTCTCCGAGGCGAAGGAATCGTACGTCATGTACGTGTCCACACTGGAGCAAGAATCCAGTCGTTCTTTCGCGCCATATTCAGAGACCTCCATAATGTCGTCCAGAACAATCTCCTCGTAGCAGACTTCGGGTGGCGTCTCGAGGTACCGTTCCTCCACTCCCTCCAGCACACCGGATACCTCATCGTCTGCGTAGCAAATGCCGTGACTGTTCTCCAACATTTTGCTTAGTTCTTCGTTTGGCTCAATAACCTGCACACATCCCGAATCGGTGTAGTCGTCAGAGAAGAACACCGAAGAGGCAGAGCCACCTGTGTCGGGACAAGCTGAGGCGCCCGTTTGGGGAATCTCGCCTGTTGAGCTAGAGAGGTTGTTCAGTATATGGTCAACGTCCACCCCCGCTGTCTGATGTCCGTGTTGGTGACTGTTGCAAATCACGAGATGTGAGCGCAGCATTTCCTGGAGTTCATCTCGCTCCTTTCGCAAGTGTTGAAGATCTTTGATCAGTGATTCTGAGCTCTTTTGCAGTCGGCTGATTTTCTGAAAAAGACAATCAAAGTCCAGTGTTGAAGTTACGTATATCGTTTCGTTAAAATGTTTATCATTCTACAAAAACAGATGTGACTAAGTATGGGATCCGAAACTGGAGTTGTTTATGTTTTCTTTCTTTCAGACAGACTGACAGACAGACACAAAATGGAGAAGACAGACACAAAGAAAGGGAGACAGGCAAACAGAGATATATATA